CGCGGCGAGCCCTTGCCCGGCCCGGCCCCCCGCAGGGCCGCGCGGCGCCCCCTCCCCCAGGCCCCCCGCCGGCGCGCCCCTCCGGCTGCCCCCCGCCCCGCCCCCCGCGGCGGGGCGTACATGGGCGTCCCCGCCGGAGGCGCGCGAGCCCAGCCCGGAGGGCGAACCGGCGGCAGGCGCGGAGGGCGCTCGCCAGGAGCCGAGTGCGGCGCACGCCCCGCTGCCGCCAGGGAGACTGCGCGGACCGACCGCGGGCCCGCCGGCGGGAGCTGATGGGAGCTGTAGTCCGGAGCATCCGGAGGGCTCAGCGAGGCAGCCGCCGGGCGCGCTGGGCTCTCCACCCGCAGGCGTCGTGGTGCCGCGATCTCGGCGGCCGCCCGGCCCTGCAGAAGGCTGCGGGGGTGCCCGCTGGGGATGATGGGGTTTGGAGTAGGGCGCGCACAGAGCCGCCCGCCCCGGTTAGGTCGCCCTTCTGCCTACGCCGCCCTCCTCCGGCTCGCAGAGATGCTCGCGGGGGAAGCCGCCCGGTCGCGGGGCAGCGACTCTGCCCCTGCTCGTCGCGGGCGGGCGGCCAGTCCACACGAGGCTGGCTCGCAGCTCGGAGCGCGTCGCTGCGTCCCGTCCGGCCTGGGAGCCACGCGCTCGTGTGAATCGGGGAAAGCGATGGCTGGACACACGTTCTTTGTGCTCGCGCCTTCCCGGAGGAGGGGCATGCGGAAAAATTTATTTCATTTTTATACTGCCCAATAGCTGAGGTTTTCTGGGCGGTTAACAAAAGTTTAAAACACACAAGAGAAACAGAGAAAAAATAAGAAAAATTAACATAAATTAATAAAACCATAGCAGTTGTGACACAGAGGCATAGCAGCTGTACAGGATTAAATGCAATACTAAAACTACAATTTAAAAATGACCAGTTAAAATACTGGGAAAATAAAAAGGTTTTCACTTGGTGCTGAAAAGAATAGAATGGGCACCAGATGCACCTCCTTACGGAACTCATTCCATAGCTGGGGTACCGTAACTAAAAAGGCCACACTCCTGGTAGCCACCCTCCTGGCTTTTTTTGCAAGGGGCTCCCAGAGAACAACCCCAAAGATGACCATAGGGTCCAGGTAGGTACATTTGGGACAAGGCGTTCCTTCAGATTACCTGCCCAAGCCGTTTAGGGCAGACTTTCCCAATCTTGTGCCTTCCAGACCCATTCGGACCGCCACATCCAGAACACCCAGCCAATGACCCCGCTGGAAATACCTTTGAAGGCCACCAGGTGGGGGAGGCTGGTAGAGCTTTTTTTTGTTAATACAGCACTTTGAATCCTGCCCACATTTCAACTGGCAGCCCCTTCCGACTCGCTCTGTTTCTATGTTCTGGAGGGCATTCCTGTGCAAGGGTCGCCACCCGCCAGAGGCCTTGATGGCACGTAAGAAGGAAGGAACTCCCGCTTAGGGCGGCAGCCTTGGTCGGTGCTGCACAGGTGCGCACAGACGTGAGCCTGCCGTCCTCGGATGGCCACGGGCCCTGGCGTAGGCTCCCACTGAAACCCGGAAGTCTCGTATGCGGAGAAGCTGGTGGCTCCTTCTACCACTTTTTACGTCTGTGCCTCGCACGGGGGAGGTTTGCTGAATGCCCTCTTTCAAAATGGCGCCGCAGGGCACCGAAAGCCCGAAATAATGATAGCGAAAGAGGGAGATGCCCTTAAACAAAATGGCGCCCTTGGACCGAAATGGGCAAACAAGAAGGTTCTCTGCCCGCCTTTCCTACCAAGCGCGCCTCTTTTCAGGAATTCCTTCCGCACGTGTCCAGTTGAGTCAGCTTTTCTTCGCCCTGCCCTGCTTCCTTTTTGGGCCAACAAGCTTTCTCTGGGGCTCCTGCTGTGCCCCTGGCGGCGGTGGCGCCCGCAAAACCCACTGAGGGCGGAACAGAGACGCCAGGGAAAAGTCCTCCCCGGAACGGCGGGGGGGCACCCGGGGCAGGAGGGGCGGCGCCTTCCGGTCACGAGGCGCCGCTGACCCGGTGTCCCGGCAGTTCTGCTGTTGCGAGGCGGGGCGTGCCGGAGCGAGGGAGGCGCGGGAGATGGCGGACAGCGGCAAGAGCAAGAGCGGCCCGGCGGCCCCTTCCTCCGGTGCGGGTGGCGCCGCCGCCGCCGCCGCCAAGGCCATGACGGCCGAGCAGGTGGGCGGGAGGGGCTGGCCGAGCGGGGGGAGTGTCTCTGCGCGCGTGCAGAGCGCAGGGGCTGCGCCAGGCTCCCTGTAGAGGGAGGGTGACTGGGCCGGTCGCGCCGCATTTTTCGCGGCCCCTCCCGGGGAGGGTCTCTGAACACGTGCAGAGGGCAGGGCGCGCGCCTGCGCTCGCATCTGTTGCGGAGAGCCGCGCCCGCCCGGGGGAGAGGGACGGGCCGCGGCTCTCGGGGGAGACGCGCTCCTCTGGCCGCCGCGCGCTTGGCGAGGGCGAGCGACAAGGCGGGCAGGCCGAGGAGGAAGAGCAGCGACCCTGGGCGCGCACCCGCGCCGTGTTCATGAGCGCCCAGGCTGGCCTAGCGGCGGGTCGCCGGCCGAGTTCAAGGAAAGGGGGGGGGGTGCCAGGCAGGGCCCGTGGGAGCCGCGTGCTCCGAAGAGGAGGGTCGTCAGACACGACGTTTGGCGTTATGGCCGGGGGTCCCCTGGCCCAGTCTGCTTCCCTGGCAGTGACTGGGCAGGATTAAGGCGAGCCGGGTGTCAGTTTTCCGGTGAGCTAAGAGAACTGAGGCATGTTTCTCCCCCAAGGAGTTTCTGGTCTGAAGAGCAATAGTAAATGGTAAACTACAGCGGGGAGAAGCCAAGGCTTGAGGTATAAGCATTACAGGGATCCGTTCACCTGCTCAGGCTGGAGGTGGCTGGAGTATGCCCTCAAATTACGAGTCTTCCTTTCCTTTCAGGTGGTGGCTGGATTTAATCGCCTGCGTCAGGAGCAGCGAGGTCTAGCCTCAAAGGCAGCTGAGCTGGAGATGGACTTGAACGAACACAAGTAGGCAAGGAGCATGACTTTGAAAAATATCAAAGTTGGTTCTCTGTAGTGCCCTTTAGCTTTGCTTTTGTTGCAAACCAGTGTGTTGATCAGCCTTAGAAAAACTTAATTGCTAAAAGTCACCTGGGCAAGTATCATTTGCAACAAATTTGTCTCATGTATTCAAATTAATATGCTGCCAATTTTTATTACTGGATCTGGAGGGAATAGCAACGTGGCCTCTTTTAATTTCTTGGTATTTAATAAGCAGTTTGGTGTGGCTGCTTTCTTCTGCCCTGAGGCTTCTGGTTACATGGATATCTGGATCCATTTGCTCTGGCTTTGATGCAAGCTGCTTGCAGATCTTCTGTGTTTCTCTCTCTACAGACTTGTTATTGAAACACTTCGTGAAGTGGATCCTACCAGGAAGTGTTACCGGATGGTGGGAGGTGTGCTGGTGGAGCGCACTGTAAAGGAGGTCCTTCCAGCACTAGAAAATAACAAAGATCAGGTAATGCCTCTGCTGGTTGGAGGCAGGCTCCCCCCTTTGGCTTGGGACAACAAATGCCCCCCCCCCCCCCCCCCCCCCCCCGCATCCAGTCATGGGGAAGCTGGAAGGAAAATAAGACCACCTTTTCAGTGCCTAAGAGCCTTCCTGACTAGCAGGCTTCTGTGGACTTTATTCTCTGAAGACCACTGTTGTGCAAATTAATCTCCCCATAAAATGTTGCACTTTAAAAGAGGAAACCTATTCCCCTGCCTTTTAACTTCTCTCTGCCTGGCAGTTTTGTCATTCTAATAGAAGCAACACCTCCAGCATCCATGTCTTTAACATTCAGCTACGTTTAGTACATATAATAACACCTCCTTTATCACTCCTTTATCATTAAATCATTAGGTGTTTGTATTTGCAGAGATTCTTGTGCTGTATTGACCAGTGATATTTCCCCCTCGTTCCAGCTGCCCAAATTACCAGGTAGAAAGGCACAGAAAATAACTAGGACTGGGTGTGGCAAAAACTTAAAGCACAGAGCTTATTAAAGTAGCTGACAGGTAATGTGAAAAGAGGAAGGAAAGCAAAATGAAGAGCTTGGTAGCTTTAGATGTGGGATCTCTTTTGCAGCCCAAGGAAAACCAGCACACTTCTTGCATGGAGTTCCTGCCCAGGCAGAGGCATGCTCTTCAGAGCCTTACCCTCTCCGAGTTGAGGGCAACAGAAGCAAAGTGGGTTAGGAGATTGACTGGGGTCTCTGTCTCCTCACACAACTTCTATAACCTTCTTAATCCCCTTCTTTGTAGTGATTCTTGAACTATACCAAAAAAGTAAATTGCTACTTTTTTAGTTCCCAGACTTCTGTCAGCCACCTGGGCAGAAAGGTGATGAAAATAACTACAATGTGGAGCCTGAGTTTGGCAGTAGAGAGGCAAACTCAGGTGCAGCATTACCTTTCCACCAGTATGCCCATGTGTCTGTTGCCAGGTAAACCTGCCCACTCACCAGCTCCATTTAACTTGCTCGCCAGTGTTTGCCTGCTCTGTCCCCACAGCAGATGTTTCAGGGTTGTGTTTACCTCCGGCCCAGTTCTCGAGGTCCTCGCACGTCATTCCAGTGCACATCTTTGCTCTCCACTCCAGAGTAATAAGCTGTGGTGGACGGCGATGCCTGCCTTTAGCAGATTGTGCCAGTTGGACTAAGCCTACCAAAATGGAAGGCCAGGCTGAACTATATGGAATGCCCATCCAGCTTGGGAGAATGGCAGAAGGATCGGAGGCCTCTCTTATCACTCCCTGCATGTGTATCTCTCCACAGTCTCTCCACTTGTCCACCTGGATTCCTCTCTTGTACTTTCTAGATCAACAAGATCATAGAGACACTGAGTCAGCAGCTGCAGACAAAAGGCCGGGAGCTGAATGAGTTCCGAGAAAAACACAACATCCGCCTGATGGGCGAGGATGACCAGAAGACTCCATCCAAGGAGAGCACAGAGGGAGCAGGTGCCAAATCCAGCTCTGCAGGGGTCCTGGTCTCCTAGTGGAAGGAGAGACTTTCTCAGCAAGGACTTAACACCCCTTACTCTATAGCTGCAGCTCTCAAAGGCTTACCTTTATTATTGTGTTGGTGTCATCTTGTATAATATTTTTGTTAAATAAACATTCTGAGTGTCACGTATTTAGGCTAACGTGAGAAACAGCAGCTGCACTGGATCACCTCCCATCCCCAGAGCACAAGAGCAGACCTTGTTCTTTTCCTGCCATCCTTGGAAGCAGGTCCATCTTGCAAGACTGGCAGAAGTTCATTCTGTACTTTTATGCAGTATGTACCTCTTCAGTCCACCTCTCCTTTGAAAACAGAGCGAGCTTTTCCCCCTCAGTGGAGAAGAGCTGTGAGAAAATGGTTTCTGGATACAAATTCCAGTGCTTAATTTGGTGCCCGGTTTAGCTGCTCACTCCTCTCTATGCACAGCAGAACAAGTGATGTGAGAATAGTTTGAAATTACAAAATTATCCAAAGCAGGTACAGCACTGAAGGTGTAATGCTATGCAAATTTAGACAGACGAAGAATATGCTCGGCATTGCAGGCCTGTTTTCTTGTGCTGCTAATTGGTCAGTAGCTGTACCCCCTGCTCATTAATCAACATTAAAAAACCCCCAGCATGCTTAATGATTGTTTATGCAGGCAGCAGGCATCACTTTAGAAGGAGCCTTCCCTCTTCCCTTACAAGAGGAAATGCCTCTCTTAAAATAGTGTGTGCCATCTGAAGTGTGGTTTTTATTCAAATCTGTTATTCATAGGCAGATTCAAGTAAAATGAATTGATGGACTCATATGATTAATCCGCTGAATCTTTAGACATGAATGTTTGCAAATTAGGAAAGTAGTGGAAAATTGGGTTTTTACCATAGTAAAATGTGTGTTAGAAAATAGAAGTAGAGCAAGTCGGAAGGGGTCTCCTGGGCCATCTAGTCTGACCCTGGCGCCAGCTGGCTCCGCTCACAGCATGCCCACCATGTGCATGTCCAGCTTACCTTTCCTTAGATGTCAATAGGACCTACATAGTTCTCTGTATATTTTGAGTGCAAGCCCCTTCCAGTGCTCCTGTGTGGAACATAATTTGATTTTGGAGGGCTTCTGATACCAGATTTGAATTCAAGGCTTTGGAATGGTGAACCCTGGAGTATTCGTGCATTTGGACTGTTTTCATCCGTGAAGTGAGGAGGTTTCTTCCTAGTGTGCTTCAACTGGGTCATTGCTCTGATTGGCCTGCAGAGAGAGGAGCCTTTTTGATCTGCCAGAGGGGGCTTTTATTTCACATAAACAAAGGACAGCCCCTCTTTGCCAGGAAAGGAAGACCTGAGCAGACCTGAGAGTAGCGTTCCTGGGGAAGGTTCATCAGCTCTCGGCATCTGGTGGTCCTTGCCTTCACAGGGAGATTTCTAGGCTGCAGATCTCGGGGCAGGGGGACTTGCCATCAGTCCCAAAGCCCCCAACACAGTACAGCTTGTCATTCCAAAGACAAGTTCGGTGACCAACCCTCTTCTGGGCCCGGTTGGAACAAGGAAAATGGAACCAGTTTGCAGGCGAAGACCCTAGAAAAACAAGATCAAACGACTCAGGTTCTAGAGAACCATCTGCCTTCTTCCTCGACTTCCTCTTCGGTGCCCCAGGCTGAGGACTCTGGGCTTGCGGATCTTGGCCAACCAGCACTTAGCTGCCCAGCACCTGCATCAGCTCCTGGCTGCCTGGCTCACACCCACCTCCCCCACTGGCCGCCTTTGCAGAAGAGGTCAGCGATTTCCTCCGATGTGAGATGCCCAGTGAAAAAGCCTTTTTCACTGGGTATGGCAAATGTCAAAAGCTGCTGAGGTGCCCAAGAGGAGGGTGTGGGGCGGCTGTCCTGCCGTGGGTGTGTGTGTCAAGAAATGCACGCACTAGCATGATAAACACACCAAAGAACTGCCGCACCTCAAAGGGTGAGAACAAGACTTACGTGTATCATAAATGTAAAGGTCGTTGCAAACAGAATCCCTCCCCGTCGCTAAGGTCTCCCCTCCAAAGATGACGGCGAACGGTCCCACGACCGAGCAGGATTGATGCCTCAGGCCTTTGGGAGCCTGCCGTGAGCCCCTTCCAGAGCTGACCAGGCGAGAGAGCTGCTCCGTCAGTCCCGGAGCGAGCACAGAATCGGCCTGAGGAGGGAAAAGGAGTGGCAAGCTGTTGTCTGTGCGTATTGCTCTTAAAATTGCTGGGATGGGGAGGGGTTGACTTGGGCCTTGGTGTGCCAAGCAGGGAAGCTGAAAGGCCCGTTGGCCGCCAGGGAGGACCAAGTGCATCGCTGAAACGAAAAATGGGTGGAGGAGAACGGCCCGTGGGGCACGCGGTGAGCAGAGTTCTGCGGGTGGCGCTCCCCCAGGTTGGGGTGTGGCCTGGCAGAGTGACTGCCGCCCCCCTCCAGGGCTGCTCCTCCAAAGCCACCAGCCGGCCAGGGGGCTGGGGGGAACTGGTGTGAAGGCTGTGGCAGCGGGGCGGGAGGATGAAGAGGCTGGGTGGCACGGGGCAGCGGCGGCGCTGGGACCCCACGGCGGGCTGTTCCAAAGCCTGCCTCAGCCCTGCTTGGGCCGGGGGGCCTGGTGGGCCTCCATGGGGGCACCTTGGCTTTCTCGCCCCAGCCAGCCCTGGATCCGCCCACGCCGGGGGTGCGCAGGGGGCACGCCGAGGGCGCCTTCACTCACGTGGATTTTCCCTTTCTCCCACCGCCCAGCCACGTCGAGGTCGGCGGAGTCACGCCCACCGAACACCAGGAGCGCGTAGCCACTGCTCCTCCCGCCTGGCCTGGCCTCGCGCACGAGCATGGCGGAATGGCCGGCCCGGGAGGCCGTCCGAGATGCCTCCTCTTCGTACCTAGCGGAGAGAGGAGAAACGCGCCGGAGACTAGTTTCCAGGTGGCCCCCCTTCCGAATCCCGTCCTGGGCTGGGCGGCTTGCAGGGTGATGTGCTGCAGCGCCACGGGCTGTTTTGCACCACCCTCCTGGGGAAGAGGCACTCGGGCCGCTTGTGTGGGGAACGTGGCTGTGCTTCCAGCACAGACACGCTGATTTGTGTGAAGTGGTGTGAAAGCAGAGCCCACAGTCACTTTGGATCACGTGGGTGAGCGTGCCTTCCCCGGCGTCCATACTTTAAGCAGCTCTAAGAATGCCTTTTCTTGCAGAACGGTGAGCTTCCACGAGCTGTTGCCCGCAGAAAATTTGGCCTGCAGCCCCTATCCATTGGCCACAGGAGGTGGGGCTCATGGGAGCTGAAGTTCAAAGCATCCGGGGAACCCAAACCTGGAGGATGCCGGTGCAGAGGGGGCCAGCGGGTCTGTGGGGAAGGAGTAGGCATGGTTTCTGCAGCCAACGCCATCGCTCGGGCGAGTGCCAGTGGAGCACAAGGCCGCCCTGCAAGTGGCCTCCTCGGACCCAGAAACATGCCAAGGGTTGCTTAATAGTAGAAGAAAGGCACTCTGCATATGCTCAGGAATGCCTTCCCAAACCTTTAATGCAACCTCCCATCAGGCAATCTCCAGATGTGCTGGGTCAGCCACTCCCCCAGTTCCCAGCCACCGCGGTCCCAACACGTCGGGGGGCACAGGGCCAGAGAGGGCAGTCCTCTGGCTTCCGCGGCAGCCGCCTTCCCCACCTGCTGCGCGAGGGCTGCGTTTGTGGCTCAGCTTCTGGCTGTCGAGATGCTGGTGGGGGAGGAGGGAGCAGCCTGGGCAGAGGCACTGTTGTGCCAGGTCCCCGCAGCCTTGCGCTTTGTGCAGGGAGGGGGGCACGGGGTGGCCATTTTCCAGTGGGACCTGGTTTCACAATGCAACAGGCCTTCAACTGCAGAGTCTGAGGAGGAGAACCGGCGGGGGGGATGGCGGAGCGGAGGCGGCAGGTGCTGCCGGGCAGGGCGGGGGCCACGGAGGAGGCGGCGCACGGAGGCGACTGTCCCCAGTGGTGCTTGCGCCACGCTTCCCGTGGTCTTGCCTGCTGTCTCCGCACATCCTTTCAGGATGGCTTTTCCCCAGCAAACTTTTAAACGCTGTAATGTGAAATTCGGTGGTTTCTTTTCTGGTTGGGTCACCCCTCCAAATCATTGCAGTAGATGCTCTATTCCGCTAGAGGGGCACTTCCTCACGCCATGCTAGCCAGGTCCAGAAAGAGCCAACAGAGCAAAGCCCCAGGGTGCAGAGAATCCTGCACTGCTCCGCTCACCATCAGGCGCTTTTTGGGGGGGGGGGGGAGCCGGAACGTACCAGTATGTCTTGGTGCTGGGGTTGATGTGCATGGTGAAGATGCTGGCGTAGCGCCGCTGTGTTCGCAGCCCGCCTTCGCGGCCCACCACCCGCAGCTCGTGGTCTGTCAGCTTGGTGCAGGTGTGGCTGCTCAGCCCCACGGGGGCCTCACTGGAAGGCCCCGCGGTCCAGCGCTCCCACCGCCCCTGCTCGGCGTCGAAGCAGCCCACGTCGGAGGTGCGGCGGGAGCCGTCCCAGCCTCCCACCACGCACAAGAAGCGGTCGGCCAGGACCACGGCCTCGTGGTGGCTCCGGCGGGGCCCACCTTCAGGAGCAAGCGTTCGGACCGTCTGGAGCAGTGGGTCGAAGGCCACCAGGTCCCCGAGGGGGGCCCCATGGCACTCCTGCGACTTCAGGCCACCGAAGATCAGGAGCTGCCCCTGCAGCACGTTGCAGGAGTGGAAGCCGCGGGCCAGGAGGTCACTGCGCACGACCGGCTTCCACTCCCAGCTGACGCCGCCAGCGGATGTCATACCAGGCCTGTCTGGCGGGAGGCAGAGCAAAAGGCAAGCAGTGGGTCAGCGGAACGATAGCAGCCACAGTAGCAATAATTCATAGCCGTCTTCTCAAAAAATACACAAGGATACATGCAGAAAGAGAGAAACCTGCAACACTGGAAACAGATATATCAATTGCCCACTAAAATGCAGCGCTTTACTAGCCAGCTAAGCCTCCGTGGTGACTAAACCGCTCGGCTGGTGCGCTGCAGGCTGATTGCGTGTGGTCGGATCTCTGGGAAGGGGGGAAGCTGGTGCAGAACGAGGCCCCCATTGGCCCCAGAAGGGTCTTTCGAGGGCAGCGTTGCCTGACCAGGAGGCCACCACTGAAAAGCCCTGCAGGAGTTCATCCGCCTGTCTGCGCAGGTTCATACTGGGAGTCCCCAATTAATGCCTTTATTAGATCTGACCCAGAAGTTACAGGGAGGTGTTTAAAAAATCAGAGTTAATAAAAGCTCTTCATCAAGGTAGATGTTAAGATTTAAAAAGTCTTAAAAGGGAAGGGTGCTGCTTGGCCCAGTGGGCAAGGCCTGCCCCGTTATTTCTCACAGTCCTACACAGGCTACGGGGGGAGGGGGCCTTGCAAAGCCGTGGCTCCGTCTGTCAGGCTTTCCCAGGCTGGTGTCCTCCAAAGTTTTGTATTTCCGCTCCTGTCACACCCACCAGCTCCTGACCAGGAAGCCTGGGAGCTGTAATCCAAAGTGTCAGTGGTGCACCAGGCCAGGAAAGCCTATTCTGCCTTCTTTTCATAGACAGAGTCTGGTTTCTTCTTCTTTTTCATTTTTATGCCACCCAATAGCCAAGGGTCTTTGACAGTTAATAAAAGTTAAGAAAAAATGTAAAACACAAGCACACAAGATGAAATCAACTTAAAACAACAGAACTGCCATAGCAATTGCAACTGAATCCTCATAGAAGCATGCAGCAGTACAGAATAAAATACAATATTAAAAAATGGAGTTATAAATTTCATCTGTTAAAATGCTGGGGGAATGAAAAGCTCTTCACCTGGGGTCAAAAATAATGCAAAGAAGGTGCCAGGGGCAGCTGTCTGGGGAGCTCTCCTGGACCCAGAGCTTATCAGCTTAAATTGATATACTAGTGATGACCCCATCCGGACAGCAAGACCCTAGCGAGTTATCCATGGTCCAGTAACCTCTTGCTTGGATAACTGCAATGAGATCTACATGGGGCTGCCCTTGAAAACAATCCAGGGACTTCCAACTGATCCGAAAGAGGGCAAGAAAGTTAATGGGGACCGGCTCATGAGAAGGCATCATGGCAGTCCTCTTCCGGTTACACTGGAACCCTAACCCTAACCGGCTGCCAACTGAAGTCTGGGTCCAATGCAAAGTGCTACTATTAAAACCCTAAACAGTTTGGGACCAGGCCATCTGAAGGAATGGCTCTTCTCACATGTACCTTCCCCATCCCTTTGGGGGAACACCTCCCAACCAGACAGGCGATCCGCTCAACAGCACCTCCGTCTGGTCGGGGTTGAGTCCCGGTTCGTGGGCCCTCAGAGTTTGGTGAAGATGTGAGGCAGAGCTGAGTGCCATCTGCGCCCCGATGATACCTCTGGATAACCCCTGCCAGCAGTTTCCTGCAGATGTCGAGGAGCGTGGCGGATCAGTGGAGCCCTGCAGAGCCCCGTGGCATCACTGCCGTGGCGCAGAGCAGCCGTCCCCCAGCCCCACCTTCTGGAGCTGGTCGGTCAGGGAAGAGCAGAACCGCCGCAGGGCAGCCATGGAGTCCTGAGCAGCCCAAGGACGGGAGCGGAGATCTCCCAGAACCAAGTCTGAGGCCACCTCCATGCTTGCAACTCGCACACACAGTGCACAACCATCGCACTCTGGATGTGCACGGGGGACAGAAGGCCTCTGCCCAGCCACTCGGGGGTTTACATCCCGTTTGCAAGTCACGGTGGCATGTGGAGAGCTGGATGCAACTCGTCCAAACATGGCTGGGCATGGCTTGTTGTTGGAGGGTTAAACAGCCTCAAAGAACCCAGCCACAGCCCATGGGCTATTTGAGGGTTGTTGACCCCTCCAAGAAGCCATGCTGCCCAGGGGCGGACAATGCAACAAATTGCTTCAAATTCAAATCATACCAGGCACACGCCATGGATTAAACACGCCACCATGGATTAAACACGCCACCATGGATTAAACACGCCATGGGCATCATGCGGACCAGTCACTGACTATGGGGAAGGAGCTGAACTCCCAAGAACAGAAACGTGCTCCTTTCTGGGCCTGTGCTACCCGGCAGCAGTCTCTCGTTCGGCAGAGCAGATTCATGGTTGCAGCGGGAAACGTTCCCCGCGTCCTTTGAGCTCAAGTCCCCTCCAGAGCAGGGGGAAGCAGGCTGCGGCCCCCAAGGGCTGATTTGCAGCCCCAAAGTTGCCCTGATACTCTCCACCTCAGTTCTGAATTCCTTCCTTCAGTGGCCTGAGCTCATATGGCTCTTTCCTCACTGGCAGCAGGAACAGACGGTCCACCCCATGCTCTCAGGATCCCTGGAGGAGGGAGCTGAGAGTACGAGCACAAGAGCGCTCTTCGGGATCAGTGGGGTGGGCATATGTAGCCCCGCTTCACCCCGAGTCAGCACCACGTTCAGCTCTTGGGGCGGAAAAGTTTGCACACCCCTGTTCTAGTTGGTGCTTCAGGAACAGCACAGCTAGTGCAAAAGAAATGCCCGGCCGTCCCCTGAAGGCCGCCACTGGGGCAGAGGTGGGGTAAATCCCTGGGAAAGAGGAACAGTCAGAATGCATGTGGAGGAGACCCAGAAAGCAATTCCTTGCAGGTTAGACGGGGCCGGTTACTTGGGGAGAAGGTTAAGAGGCCAGATTGGGAGGCTGGTCAGGCACTCTGCTTCCAGAGCAGAATGAGGCTGAGAGCGTTCAAGGACAGGCTGGACGTGCACATGGTGGGCATGACATGAGTGGAGCCGGCTGGAGCCGGGGTCAGACTAGATGGCCTCGGAGGTCCCTTCTGACTCCCTCTGTTTCTATGTTTCTAAGTCATTTGCAGACATGGATAGAGAGACCCGGGTCCTGAGCAGGGGCGTAACCTCTGAAAAAAACAGCCTACTGACAAGCAGAGCTGAGTGCCCGGGCAACACCAACTGAAACCATATATTTATTTCATATATTAATACCTCTTCTGTTCAATGCAAAAAAGTCACTATAAGTATTGTTAGCACATTTTCAACAAACGCACCGGGATCCTTCTGTACAGGACTTGGTGAGAGATGGCCCAGAGTGGAGAGTCCAGCTAGAACCAGAGCTGGGTTCTCCTCCGCCCCCCCCCCAGAATTTTTCCCGAAGGGTAGATGTGGCTCTTGGGTACAATTTGATGTATGTATAGACGGGGGGGGGGGGGGGCTTGCAGCTCCCAGTGTGCCCCCCGCAGTGTGGACTGCATGCTTCCATGCGTCTCCTCATCCTCCCCAAGCCCCCCACAGCGCACTTGTTCTTCGGGGAATAGCCGTGTTCTGTCCTCCACCTCTTTGAAACCCTGCTATTTACATGAAAATATATGCTAGAAAAGCAATATATGCTAGAAAAGTGGCTCAGGCCACTGCAGGAAGAAATATATGCTAGAAAAGCAAAGTGAACCACGAGCAGTTCAGACGACATCTCGCCACAGAGCGCAAGGGCAAGCGGTGCGTGTTTATGCACACGCGCAGGAGTGCCGGGGACAAGACGCACCCAATTCCTTCCACTTGCCCAGAGGTTTAGCAGCCCTGGAGAGGGAGCTGAACCCGAAAGAATAGCAAGGGTAGCAACACACGGTCCAGAATGTGTGAAATGCACCTCCCCCCCACCAAAAAAGAAAGAAAGAAAAGCAAACACAGGCAGAATAACGACATGCTAGGAGCCAGGTAACAAAAAATAGGGACCTTCCATGGTATAAATAGAGACAGTTGGAGCATCCACGGAAGGAGCGTAGGGTGGGGAGACACACCAAACACCCCCGATTCGCTTTTTAGGAGCTGGCTTTCCCCTGTTACTTAAACAGGAGTGTTTGGAGCCAGCGAGGCGCTCCCTTCGGCCTGACTTGGCTGCCCTGCAGAGTGAGGCGCATAATGCGCTGAAGCTCATGCAAGCACCCAGCTGCGTGTATCTCCGTGGCATGTTGGAAGCCAGCCCCAAAGCCTGGCCCGAGCCGTGGGCAAATCGCCTGCAGGAGAGGCTGGAGCGTCCATTGAGGCCTACCTGGGAAGAGGGAAGCAGGGCGGATCCGAGTCTGGTCGCCTGGCAACCGGGAGCCCATGGCAACCGCATCTATGCGCCTCAGCCACAGATCCGCAGCCGCAGCACAAAGCAGGCCCTGCCAGAAAACATTTGCTGAGTGTGCTGAAGTTGTCGGCAGGCACATCAAGTCACCAGCGGTGGGGGGCCGGAGGGGGACATGCGCAGAGGGCGGCCAGGAATCTGGGAAGCATTGGCGCGGGCAGAGGGGGGAAGTGAGGAGGCGGCACCCAGAGGGTTGCGGCTGCGGAGCGCTTTCAGGCTGCTGGTGTGTTTCTGGTCATTCCAGCAAGCTCGGGGACCACAAGCTCGCTATCCTGAGCATGTGCAGAGTGCAGACCGGTGACCCGCTTTCCTAGTTGTGCGCCTGCTGTGATTGGCAGCAGCACCCGAAAGTTTCTTTTTGACTGCCAGGTGCTGCACCTGCCGCTTTCTGCGGATGCAACGCACGTGCCCTTCTCTGCATTATCGATCTTGCAAGGGAAGCGCTTTGCCCCTTCCCAGGGGCTGCACCCGCAGCAACTGTGTTTGCTTGCCTAACCACGAGAGACAAATCTCTTCTCTTTGTTCTTTCTTGCTCAGAAAAAAATGGCAAAAGAAATGACTACAAGGAGAAAAATGTCCCTGAGCATGTGCAGAGTGCCCTTTCCCACAAGCTTCCATAGCCTTTGTTTTGCTTTGAAACATGACTCGTGAAAACTTGCACATTAACAGGTTGCTGTTTAATTTGGTTTATCATTCATGTTTTTCAGTGTGAACTTCCTGGAGATTTAAAGGAAAGTGCTATTCAAACACCGTAATGAATAAACGCTAGCAAGAGGGCAGAGCACCAAATGCAAGCTTCCTTCCCTCTTCCCCACGTCTACAGTTCTCGCATCTGGTAGTAGATTTAGAGGGCGAAAGGCTGAGGGGGCTCATAAAAGGTGCACAGCCGGCCATGCCAGAAGGTGCAAGCAGGCCAGCCGGCCCGGGCCTGTTGCTCCAAACCGGTCAGCCCCGGATTAGCCTGTGCGCGCAGCGAGCGGCACGCGCTCCAGGCTCCCTCTCGCTGGAAAAAGTCATGCCAGCCCAGAGTGTCTCCCTGTGTGCCAAGTCACTGGGGCCGAGATGCCCCCGTTGCGCCCACGGGTGGGGTGGGCAAGGGCGCTGCCTTTGCCCTGGCTCCCTGACCGCCACAGAAGTCCTCCTCGCGAGCAGGGCTTCCCCAGCAGATTTCTGCCTGTTGAGCTGCGGTTCTGAAGGGCGCCAGAAATGGCTGCAGCTCTTCCTGGGCCGCGAATAAAGGCACAGAAGAGAAAGCGTTGTGATGGGAAAAGCGGCACTTGGCCCTTTGGGGCGACCCCGGCCAGGGCACCTCGGCCCCCGCGGGCGCCCGCAGCTCGACGAGGCAACTGCCCGGCGGACATGACTCCAAGAGGCCCGGGGGGCGGCCGGGCAGGTGGCTGAGCCGGGCGTCTCCGTCTCCGTCTCCGGGCGCCTGCTCAGGACGGCGCGCCCGGGTGTTGACAGTACACAGCCGGGCTGCTTGCCGATGCGCCGCAGGCTGCGCCCCGCGCCCCCGCTCGCGCCGACCTCCAGCCTCCCTCCTCCCGCTCCCGCGGCCCGCTCAGGACAGAACCGGTTTCGGGGCAGAAGGCAGCGGCTTGCCCTGCACTTGCGGGAGGCTGATCGGCCCCCGCCCCGCACCAAAGCAGAGGCCCCTCCCTGCCCGGCCAGCCTGCAGAAGGAGCCGAGCGCAGGGTCCGACCGCTGGCAGGCAACTTCCCGCGCCTCTCCCGGGTGAGGCCGGGGCTTGGGCACCGGAGCAGCTGGGGGGCAGGAGGGGGGCCGCCCAGCTTGGGTGGGGGTCGCCAGTGGGGGGCTGTGGCAGACGGGACCCCCTGAAAGAGGAGCTGCGGGGGCCCCGCGGGACCAGGCTGCCTCCAGGTGCGCTCAAGGGCGCACCCTCAGGCTGACGCCTTCCTTCCCTGCAGCCTCCCCTTCAAGGATCATCTCCAGCGGCTGCCACAGCGCACCTGCCAGCGCAATGGAGTTCCCCAAACTCCCCAAGATCGGGGATGCTGAGAAGGAGAGCGAGCTGGGATTTGTCCACGGGGTCTCTGGACCAGGTAGGTTCTCCGCGGCCTGGTGCCACAGCCTGCCGAGCCTCCAACAGCCCTGGAGAGGAGCAGGGCATGGAAATTCACGGCGCCCCCAGCCTGCCCCGCACTGGCATCGCCTTGCAGAAGCAGGCCCCACGCTCTCCGCTTCTTAAGGAAATGCCAGAGCGTCAGGGCAGATCTTCCCTTCGCACCATGCAGGGGACCGCAGGGCTGTTGGACAGCGAGGGACCGGGAGGGAAGCCGCCCCTGGCTGCCTGGGCCTCTGCCCGTGGGTCCCGCCGAAGCCCTCCTGCAGAACCCCCGACTCCTCCAGGGCCCTCTGCGCAGCCATCCCACGTCCACAAAATTGTGGCAAGGCACCCTCCCACAGACAGACGGGGGCAGCAGCAGGGAAGCACAAAAGCGCGTGGTCTCAGTGGAGTTTTACCGACGTTAGGAACGGAACCCGAATAATTTCCAGGATAAGGACCTGGTTAACCCCATAGCAGGTTTGGTCCCAGTGCCCAGGCTGCCTCCACCAGACGCGTCCCCTTGTCCTCAGATCGTGGAAACTTTGTGCTCAGCTGCACATGCAGTTCTGCAGAAACAATGGAACAGGGAAGGGCACAGATGCAGACTGTGACTTCCACGTGAAGCTCAGATGTTTACAAGAGCAGCACTGTGATTATCCGCAACAGCAGTGTGGATGAAAGGCGATTCCCTGGCTGGAGAACATAGAAGCGTAGAAACAGCGGGTCAGGCAGGGCCTCCTGGGCCATCTAGTCTGACCCGGGCTCCAGCCGGCTCTGCTCTTGGCACGCCCACGGTGGCCTGCAGTGTCCCGAGGGACTGGCGTTTATTCCGACAGGTCTCCGTGGGCTTCCCTGTTGGGGGACGAGCAGTGGCAGGCGGCTGTGCCACGCAAGAATCTGTCAGTCTTCCAGATGCGGTGGGACTCTTTGTCGCATTAACGAGCATGTGACATTTGTCAAATTCAGGAAATAAAATTAACGAAATGCAATCTGCTGGGTTGTGCTTGTGCATTTCAGAAATGCCCACCAAGGTGGCATTCCAAGGTAACTGATATTTGGTTTTGGATTTGGTTGAGTCCTGCTTATTAAAACACACACACACACACACACACACACACTTTGCTGAGAAGGCTTCTTCGCCGATTTGGAGTCAGTTTTTGGCGGTGGCAGGACACGTCGTCTCTCCTGCCTCCCAACAGTGGTGATCGCCTGCAAGATGTCCGGGGCCGCCATGTATGAGCTGGTGCGTGTTGGGCACTGTGAGCTGGTGGGCGAGATCATCCGCCTGGAGGGAGACCTGGCCACGATCCAAGTCTACGAGGAGACCTGTATCCTTTGAGGAAAGCCCGGCATTCCTGCCCCTTTCCCTGGCAACTCGCTTCTTCGTGTCCTTTCTCTTGCCTCGTGTGCAGCCCCTTTCCGGGGTGGCTGTCCTGCCCCACGGCGCTCCTCAGGCCCCCCGTCCCCCTCCAAAGCGCACACTCCAGTTTCCCCGCCTCTGCTTTCGGGGTCCCTCCCTTCCCTTCCAAAAGAGTGGGTTTCTCCCCCAAGAGTGCTCCCTGGTGCTGCCATCCCCTCCGGGTGCCTTCCGAGGGGAAGTGCTCCTCTGGCAAAGCCCCTTCCCCAGGGAGGCTTTGCTGTCTTTCCCAGGCCAGGGGAAGAGTCCCCAGGGTGGCCGGGTGGCCCACATTCCAGTGGAAGCCCTCTGTGTGAAAGACCGTCAGAGCACAGTCCTCCAGATGAAACGGTTTTCTGCTTGAAGGGAGGTCCTGCTCACCAACTTAAAGAACGAGAAGTCTAAGTGGGGGAGCAAAGCCAGGCTTCGGGGGGGGGCACCTGCAGGGAACACCAGGACACCCCAAAGGTCATCAGGTCACTTGTCCCCTGCATTAGTTTCTGTACCTCATTTTAAATTACAGTCATTATTTCTAATTTTGTCTCTAGCTCTCTGGCCATATTAGCACATGCAAAGTTTGCACAACTCTGTGACCTCTTTTGTCCTCTTTTGCAGTGATATATTCCCTTGTTTTTGTAGATGTATAACTGGCCACCCTGTGTTTTGGTTGTCCTGGGCTTTTAATCTCTGGATGGCTTCTAATGCTGTTGGGGCAACCATTTAAACAGCTGCTTTCTTGGTTATCTTGAGCTTTTGTTGTTACTGTAATCACCCTGAAAACACAGTGCTTTTAAAAGAGTAAATATAAACATGTAAGCAGAGAGAGAGAGAGAGAGAGAGAAAGCACGCGAAGCTTCTAGCCATGGCTCACAGCTGTGGCAAACGCCCGATTTCCCAAGCAGGCCAGGCGCGAACTGGTCCTGGCGAGGCCTGTGAAGGCGGGACGTGGAAGCGCGTGTGTTCTGCTCTTGCTTGGACACCCAAGCCCCGCTCCCCCCACCCCCGCGCCTCCCACCCCCCACGCGGGGGCCATGTGCTTCCCCCTCCCCCGTGTGCCCACCGGGCCCACCCTTCTTTGCACAGGGAGGGGTTTTCCTGAGCCGGCGCCGCAGCTGGGGTGTGCGTGGGGGACCCGGTGCTGCGCACAGGGAAGCCGCTCTCGGTGGAGCTCGGCCCGGGCATCATGGGCTCCATCTTTGATGGGATCCAGCGCCCCCTGAAGGACATCACGGAGATGACCCAGAGCATCTACATCCCTCGCGGCATCAACATCTCCGCCCTGTCCAGGGAGCGCAAGTGGGACTTCAGCCCCTGCGCCAACATCCGGGTAATGCCAGACTCAGCGGGACCGGGCGCACGGGCTTTGGCATCCAGGGAAACGCTCCTTTGGAAGCTGGTTTTTAAAAGACTTGGTCTATTCTCCATAGTTGGTCTATGCCCCCAGTATGGCCCTTTCCTCACCCTTCCCATTTCGCCTTCACAACAGCCCTGTGAGGAAGGTCGGGGAGCGGGCGTTGGCACCCAGGCGTCTGCTCCCCGGCTCCAGCTTCCTCACCACCACACCACGGGTCCGTGGTGGATGTTTAGGCCCGTAGTTCAACTGCAGGTGGACAGCAATTTGGGGAAAGGGGCCTGGGGGGTGGGGCGGAAAGCACCACGGAACAGTTGTGATGTTGGTGAAGGGAGCCCAATCGATTTAAAGCTATGAGGCCTGTGACCTAGTGGTTGGAGGTTGGACTGGGCCTTGGGAGATCCAAGATCCATAGATTTTCCAGTCTGAGCCTAACCATCTTCACAGGGCTGTTGTAAAGATAAAATGGAGAGGAAGAGAACCGTGGAAGCTGCCTTGGGTTGATTTGTTTATTTATTAGATGTATATTCTGATTTTTTCTTTTAAAGAACTCAGGGTGGCTTCTCTCATTCTCCTCCTGTAGCTCTCAATCTTATCCCCAGAACAACAACCCTGTGAGGTAGGCTGGGCTGAGAGTCTGACTGGCCCCAATTACCCAGTTGGCTCTATGGCTGAGCAGGACTAGAACCCGGATCACCCGAGTCCCAGTCCTGCACTCTTAAGCACTGCAGGTGGGGTGTGAATGCAGTGCAGTGGAAATGTCCATGGAACAAAATGCACATTTAATAACATTTAAAAACAAGGGTCCTGGTGCAGGTCAGATGCCTTTACCTGCACGGGCCAGAAGAAAGGAAAGGCGTGTGTGCCCAGGTGAATCGCAGCTCCCCCTCTCTCCCCCCGCAACGGCGAGAGACTTTGGTGACAGAAAGAGAGCTGGGGCTGAAGGGAGAGGACTTTGCCTCTCCTGGGTGGGGCGGGGGGCAGGCCCCACGGAGGCACCATCCCCACCCTCTTCAGACTCACGAGCCCCGGAAAACGCCTTTCTGGAAAAGGCAAACCAGAGCCGAGGCGCTCCAGAGGCCAGGCTGTCCTGCCAGCGCGCGGCTTCGGGGCCTCCGTCTCGCGGCCGAGCGTCGAATGCTGCCTGGGACGGAACTGGGCCCGGCCTTGTTGGCACGGACCTTCCGGGTGGCCTCTTTGGCAGGCGGTTCCTCGCCCTGCCGGGAATCAGACCCAGGACCGTTAGCATGGGGAGCAAGCCCCCCCTCAACTAGCCCCCCCCACTGCTGGGGGGCAAACCCAGCCCTTTCTTGCACCGGTCTGGGTCGAGACCCCTTTCTTACCATTCCGTCCGCATTTCCCTTTGTTTTTAGGTTGGCAGTCATTTAACTGGTGGGGATATTTACGGCGTGGTTCGTGAAAACTCCCTCATCAAGCACATGATCATGGTGCCCCCCCCGGTCGCGGGGCACCATCACCCGCATCGCTCCGGCTGGGAACTACGACGTGTCTGTAGGTGTTGGGGTCGCCGAGGGAGGACCTGCCACGGGGAGGTCGGGGTTGCCAGGGAGGGCCCCCCTCCCCAGGCCCCCTCGCTTGCCTGGCAGAGATGCACCACGGGCACGGCCGGGAATTTTGCTCCCCGCCCACAGTGCTTTTGCAAACTTCAAAAAATGCACATGCGAGTGCATTTACAACTGAAACGTTTGCAACTTTTGTTAGAAAAATATGTATTGCAAAACGCACATGGTTTTCTCACTGCAGTGAAGGGGAGACCCACACACTTAGCCCGTTCCAAGAGAAGGAAAGCAGCTTCTAGCCGAACCGAGTGCAGAGCGCAGCTGGGAGACGCTGGGCGGGCCGGGGCAGACCCTGACCTCTCCTCCCGGCTGTGGCTGCACGGAAGCCCCTTGCGGGGGAAACAGAGCTTCCCGCATCCTGCTCAGGATCCTCTGAGATAAGCTTGTGACGGGCTGCCCAACGGAGGTGCTTAAAATCTAATGATTGCCTCAGTCATCTCCCCTACCCATTAATCAGGCATCCCATAAGAATTATTATTTTTCTTTAATATTATGCCCATTAATATTGTTGATATTATTAATATCTAGTTGACAGCTGGAATCTGAGAATTATCACCCCCACGGGCCTCCCGGCCGAGCTCCCCTGCAACCCGTGCGGAAGGAGCCACTCTGAAAGCTCTCCGAGGCTTGGGAGACGTCCCTGCAGAAGGGGAGGGGGGCGTTTCGGGGAGGGGGCAGGGCATGGGTTGTCCCGAAGCTGCTCCAGCCTCCTCCGCTCCCCTCCGAGCACAAGGGTGCAGAGTCGGGGGTGGCGGGGGGGGGCGGGATGGACACCCACATCGATTCTCCGGCTCAGTGTTGGATACCCAGCAGCCTTCGCGACTGCACATTATTTATTTAGTTATTTATTTACTAGATTTCCATTCTACCCTTTGCCTTTTAAAGAGCTCCGAGTGACTCACATCACTCTCCCTCCCGCTGCTGCTCTGTCTTACCCCCACAAACGCAACCCTGTGAGGTAGGTCAGACGGAGAGTTGGTGACGTGACCAGTCACACAGTGGGCTTCATTTCCGAGCGGGCACTTGAACCCGGGTCAGCTGAGTCCCCGCCCCGCCCCGCCCTCCTCCCCCCGACGCCACACTGGCCCTACCTGGGTGAGAGTCACGTCCTCGACTCAGCATCTGGTGCACCTCACAGGCATTGCGTCAGTGAGCCTCACAAACACCCCTGCAAGGTAGGCCATCCCCATCCCAGGAGCCACCACGTGGCTGCCACTTTCACCGACTTTTCCTCCCCGAAGGATGTGGTTCTCGAGCTCGACTTCGAAGGGGTGAAGGAGAAGCTCACGATGGTGCAGGTGTGGCCCGTCCGGCAGATCCGGCCCGTCTCAGAGAAGCTCCCGGCCAACCACCCGCTCCTCACCGGCCAGCGGGTCCTGGACGCCCTCTTCCCGTAAGCCCCACTCGCCTGCGCGGCCGGGCAGAGCTGGGCGGCAGCGACTGCCCTGGCCGGGCTCGGCCGGCGGAGAACGGCCAGTCGGGGCTCCTGCCGGGAAGCGCTTCCTCCCCACTCTCCCTCGCGACGGTGGGTGGGTGCCGCCAGCGGCCACCCCCCCGCTCATCTACAATTGAAGGGCAAAAAAGGGGGGAAGCGGGGGGGTCTGAGTAGAGCAGAGCAGAGCAGTTCGCTCAGCCTTGCGGGATGGGAGCGATAAAAGGCGCCGAACCGAACCGCAAGGGGGAAGACTTGGGTTAACGTGGCAGGCGAGTCTGGGCACTGCAAGCCACCTCTGAGTGGGCACTCTTGAACTGTCCTTCCCAGCCGGGCGGCTTCCCGGCATGCTGGCTGGGAATGATGGGAGCTGCAGTCCAACCCCGCAGAGGTCGCGGAAGGCCACCCTGGTCCGTGGGAGTGGCAGGCACGGCTTGCCTCGTTCCTCGCGGGCAGCAAAGAACCAGCACCTGGCAACGCAAAGGGCTTGGCAGCCGCGCATGAGGACCGTGCCCAGGGAACCCATGCGCCTCCCGCAGCCCGGGACCCACACGCCGGGGGCACACGCGTCCTGCAAGTTGAACGCGATCGGGAAATTAGTATCCCGATCGGCTCTTGACTGCACGTGGTCAAGGATTGTGCGAATGGGGATTATGGCATTTTAACTCGCCCGAGGCCATGAGGAAACATAGAAACATAGAAAACAGAGCGAGTCAGAAGGGGTCTCCCGGGCCATCTAGTCTGACCTCCGGCACCAGCCGGCTCCGCTCACGACATGCCCACCATGTGCACGTCCAGCCTCTCCTTGAACACCCTCACCAGTGGGGCCTCAGGAGCTAGGCTCTGGCACCCTGAATGTCCCAAACCCAAACTCTATTTTTTAATCTTGTTTATCTACTTAAATTATTTTATGGCAGTTGATATCCTCAAATCTCTAAGCAGGTCCAGTACATACAAAAATAAAAGCAATGTAAGATCATTAAAAAGCATGAGTGAGTGAGTGAGTGAGTGAGTGATTAAAGCATCACAAGGGAAAGAAGGAAATGAATGTAGCCAGGGGGTGTCTGTGTAAATAAGGGTGTCTCCAGGGGGGCCTTAAAGCTCCGCACGGCTTTTGCCTCTGGAACCGTAAATGGGGGAGCGCTCAAGGGGCTGTTCCACTGCTAAGAATTTGCATCCCATTATTCAGTGCCACGCTCTTGGTCATAGAACGGCCGTGATGAAGGATCTCTGGCATAAGCAGGGAAAGGGTGGGTGCTATTTTAGGACCCGAGGCAACATTTGCACCCCTTTGGGTCCCACAGCGGCTCCTAGATTTGGGGTGGCAAGGGGGCTGCTCTGAGAGGGTCCCAGTCCCCCTGGCTGGTTCCAAAGCCCCCTTGGGTGGGCTGGCTGCCGAGCCGCTCCTTGCATCCTCCTCTCCCCAGGTGTGTTCAAGGTGGGACCACGGCCATCCCCGGAGCCTTCGGCTGCGGCAAGACGGTCATTTCCCAGTCGCTCTCCAAATATTCCAACAGCGACATCATCATCTACGTGGGCTGTGGTGAGCGGGGCAACGAGATGTCTGAGGTGCTACGGGACTTCCCTGAGGTGAGAGTGGCAAGGGAGTGGGCAGGGCAGTGATGCACAATGGGCGGAGTCAGCGTGGTCCTGCATCCGCAGTGCAAACACTCGAGTTCCTTTATGGCTTGGGCATTTATACCCCTCAACGGCCGCCTGAGAATACCAGATTCTGGTACTGGCCTTGTATCAGCTTTGAAAAAAGCTAACTTAGAGCTGCCCTGAAGGCAGAATTATAAACATTAACTCTTGAAGTTAATCACCGAGAGCATCATGAAGCGCACATCGCTCGTGCCCAACACATGTAATATTTGGCCTCCTGCTCTGTGAAAGCCCCATCAAATCCAACAGGTAGTTCTCCAGCCTCTCCATTAAGGGAAAAGCAGGAGAGAACTTCCAAGTCTTTCTTGAATCCATTATCGAAATAGTTGTAATTAACTTGTAGCTTTTCCTTAACAATTACATAAAGTTTAGGTGGATCTCCAGATCCCTCATCACAAAGCGATGAATCACAATTTTCCCCTTAAGGAAAGGAACCACAAATCCTCAGCTCCGTTAAATGCAATTTGGGATGCTTCCCTTTCTGTACTTTATCTGGTTTGAAACAGCCAGAAAATGTGTTTGGAAAACGCAGTGAGTGGCGTAAGAAGAGAGATCCTGGCGTGGCCCGGGGCTTCAGGGTGCCACTGAGGCATCTTCCCAGCCCTGCCGCAACCCTTGATCCTTGGAGTGGAGGGGGGCAATGCCCCTCGGGGCAGCTTCCGCCCCCCCCCCCCGTTCGAGTTGGTGCAGAGCAGAGGCCAAAGGAGGGGCCAAGACACGCCAGCCCACTGCGGCTGCCAGCGGGAAAAGCAGGGGACCCCCCAGCCCCTGGAGGCTGGTAGAAGGGCGGTGGACCCCCAGAGGGCGGGGTGTGGCCCCCGGGCCCAAGGCCCCGATCCCCCTTGCCCAGCTCCTGCCAGCCATTCTGTCCCTCCCTCTCCCGCAGCTCACCATGGAGGTGGAGGGCAAGACCGAGAGCATCATGAAGCGCACGTCGCTCGTGGCGAACACATCCAACATGCCTGTGGCAGCCCGGGAGGCCTCCATTTACACGGGTGAGGCGGACTCTCCCGTCCTGCTCCACCCCCCCCCCCCGTGCAGCCGGCCTGCTTGCCCCATGCTGCGCCCATTGGCAGGGTGCTCTGCACTCAGTTCCCGATACGCAATGGCTTCTTAGTTTTCGACAAATCCCACGGGCTGTGCCAAAGGCGGCTCGTTGCAGCGGACGGCCCTTCCCTGTGGAGGTGCGCACAGCTCACTCCTGGCAAGCCGGAATTTGCCAGGAGCCCCGGCTTGCTGCTGTGTGAATGGAACGGTTGTCTCCCTGTGAGTGAGAGGCAGCATGGAGTAGTGGTTAGGGTGCTGGACTAGAGCTTGGGAGATCCAGGTTCGAGTCCCCACACGTCTGTGGAGCGCCCTGCGGGACTTTGGGCCAGAGACGGCCTCAGCGCAGCCTACCTCGCAGGGGGGTTGTGAGCGCAGAAAGGAGCAGCAGCTTGTAAGCTGCTCTGGGCTCCTTGCGAGAGGCGCAGGGCGGGGCATAAACACGCTTGAGCCGCTTGCTCTTCGGAGGGGCTCGACACCCCTCCCTTCTCATCTCTCCTCTGCTGCCCCCAACAGGGATCACTCTCTCGGAGTACTTCCGTGACATGGGGTACCACGTCAGCATGATGGCCGACTCCACCTCCCGCTGGGCCGAGGCGCTCCGAGAGATCTCCGGGCGCTTGGCTGAAATGCCCGCAGGTAACCCTCGTGGCTGCCCAGGTGTTCCTGGACCCCGAAGTGAGGCATGAAGTGGCTGGGAAGGGCCCTCCCCACAATGATCAGCCAAAGTTCTCTCCCCCCCCCCCCCCCCGCCGACCATCCTTCCTGTCCTGGCTGTGTTCATAAATATTTTTTTAAAAATAAAGGTTTTTTTAAACCCGCCTCCTCACCCCAAAGTTTGGCCACTGAGGCGATGCGCTTCCTTGGGAGTAAGCCCACTGAAGCCCACGGGAATAACAGCCAGCCTCGGGACACAAGGCAGCGCTCTGTGCCATTGAAATGCACATTGCAGGAGCCAGGCCATAAGCGATCTCGAGCTCGGGCAGGGTTCCCCAGGCGGAGAGGGGCGTGCGCACGTGCGCAGGTCTCAGCTCCGCGGCCCGGCTCCGAGCTGGCCCTGTGGCTTTCCCCCACAACGCTTACGAATGCTCCTTCGCTGGATCCGGGAATGGCTTCAGCCCGGACACATTCAAGTCTGGGTGGGGGGCAGGGAGGCATCCCAGCCCACTGGCATCTTGCATCCATGGGGGGGGGGGGGCTGACGCACGACACGTGTCCATGCACGCGCGAGCACACGTGGCAGCATCGCCAGGAGGCGGGACGGGGTGCTGGTTGAACAGGGGCTTGGCAGGGCGGCAGGGCCGGCCTCGTCCAAGAACGCCAGCTGGAGGGGGCGCAGGCACGACCCCAAGCCGGAGGGCCAGAGGAATTTCCAAAGAAACCTCGCCCGGGCTACACAAACAGGCTAGACGCCGCCAGCCCTGGGACACGGGTGCGCAGGCAGCGAGCTCCGAAGTCCCCCAGGGCACCTGGGCACCCCCTCATAACCAGCCCCCCGCCCGTTTCTCCCCTTGCCGTACTTTCTCCCCCACCTGCAGAGAGCCCCAGGCAGAGCTCCTCCTCCCCACTGGGCCCAGCCACCCGCGGGGACTGCCCTGCGTGGACGCGGCGTGTGCAGCCCGCGGCCTCCGAGGGGGTGGCGGGGCGCGCTCGCGGCCCGCAAAGGGGGGCTGACGCGGGGCTTGTGTTGCAGACAGCGGCTACCCCGCGTACCTGGGGGCCCGCCTGGCCTCCTTCTACGAGCGGGCCGGGCGCGTCAAGTGCCTCGGCAGTCCGGCGCGGGAGGGCAGCGTCAGCATCGTCGGCGCGTAAGTCCTGCGGCCTCTGGCTCCCGCCACCCCGGCGGCGTTGCGGGGCCGTGCGGCCGCCGAAGGCCCTCGGGCGGAGCCCCGGCCCACTCGCCGCCATGCCCGGGGCTCACCCTTCCGTCGAGGTGCGAGCGGGCAAGGGGCGGGCGCTGAAGGAACGGGCCGCTCCTGAAAAACGCGGGGCCCCTTTCCCAGCGAGGCAGCCCGCCTTCCTTCCCCTGCTGAGCGGCGGAGGGCCGTTGTGCTACCCGGTGAAGCTCCGCGTGGCTCGGTATTACGGCTGTGCCAACCGCGGCGGAGGCGGGGACGCCGCCTGGCCCTGGGCAGCGCGGGGGGCAGCGAGGCCCCTGCGCGCCCGGGGCGCAGGCGGGAGTGGCAAGGCTCAAGCCACGGGGCGGATTTGCAGGCCAGCTCCGCGGAGAGCGGCTCCCTCCGGGCGCGGCAGCTCCTCCCTCCCCCCCTCGCGAGCGCTGCGCGTGAAAGGCGCCGTGCGGCCCCTCGCTCGGACGCCCCCGGCGGGCCGCGAAGCCCCGCACAGGCCGATCGCGCGCGCAGGGGCCGCTCACTCTCCTCTCCTCTCCGCCGTGCTCCGTGTGCCCCAGCGTGTCCCCTCCAGGCGGCGACTTCTCGGACCCGGTGACCTCGGCCACCCTGGGGATCGTGCAGGTGAGTGCCCGCGCGCGTCCGCCCTCCCGCTCCTCCGCGCACGCAGCCCGCGCCCCCGCCCACGCTCCCGTCCCCGCTCCCGCGGCAGGTCTTCTGGGGCCTGGACAAGAAGCTGGCCCAGCGGAAGCACTTCCCGTCCGTGAACTGGCTGATCAGCTACAGCAAGTACCTGCGGGCGCTGGACGAGCACTACGAGCGGCTGCACCCCGAGTTCGTCTCGCTGCGCACCAAGGCCAAGGAGATCCTGCAGGAGGAGGAGGACCTGGCCGAGATCGTCCAGCTGGTGGGGAAGGTGAGGCCGGGAGGAGCGGGGCTGTGGCCACGGAGGCTGGCTCGCCCGGGCGCAAGCCGAGCCGGGCGGCGCTGGGCCGGGCACCTTGCCAGGGGGGCCTTCGTGCCCAAGCCCGCCCCCTGCAGCCCGGGAGCCCCCAGGGAGTGGCAGGCGGCAGGCGGTGCCCACGAAATCTGTAGCACACAACCGATGTGTCCAGAGGCAACGGACACGTCTGCACCTCCTTGCAAAACCACGGAGCCCCCTCCCCCTTACAGAGAAAAGTAAAATGTGCCGTATCCGGATGAGTCCGAAGCCTCTCGGTTTAGAATTTGCTGCCAGGGGGCCGCGGGAGTACAGGTGGGGGGCCGTTTGCTGGCACCTGCCCCCCCCCACTTGTCTCCTTGTGCTGCTCCGATGGCGATGAGCATGTGGGCGATTTGTCCAGGCTTCACTCGCGGAAACTGACAAGATCACCCTCGAGGTGGCCAAGCTGATCAAGGACGACTTTCTGCAGCAAAACGGCTACTCCTCCTATGACAGGTGAGCCATGCCGCCCGCCCAGCCTCTGGCCCTCTCTGTTCAGGTTTTCTGCTTGGTCCAGGGTTGCTTGTGTCAACAAAGGCCTGAGACAGGTGGGCACTGGGGCCTTGGCAGGGTACCGCGCTCCTCGGGGTGCCAGGGGGAAAGGGAGCCCAGACAGAGGGCTGCCACAGGAAGGGCCGCCGAGTGGCTTGCCAGGCCAGTGCCAAGGGAGCCTCGGGGCAGCCAGGTCAGCAGGAATGGCCCACTCTGCTGAGTCGCTGCTTTCCTGCGATGAGCCAGGCTTGGGATGGAAGCGGAGCTCCTGCGCAGCGTTTTGTTCTGGTGCGCGTGACGGTGAGTCCTTCCCCGTGGCCAAGAGCCATCCGTAAGGTCTCCCCGTGAGTAAGTCTCGTTCAGCCAGGCCCCATCCCACTGCTAGTGACCCATCTGGGGTGGGGAGCAGGCTTGGGTACTTGTCCCTTTCTGCGCTTGCATGGCGAAATTGCGCTGGAGGGAATGTCCGCTAGCTGGCTCGGCGGGTCCCGAGCGTGCCTTCTGCCCTGCCCCAGATTCTGCCCCTTCTACAAGACGGTGGGGATGCTGCAGAACATGATCGCCTTCTATGAGCTGGCCCGCCACGCGGTGGAGTCCACGGCTCAGTCCGAGCACAAAATCACGTGGGCCACCATCCGGGAGAGCCTGGGGAATATCATGTACAAGCTGAGCTCCATGAAGTTCCAGGTAAGAGGCAGGAGCCTGGCTTTCTAGTGACCCACAAGTGGGTCACAGGGGGCAAGAATGACGAGGCAGCCAAGCATCTCCAGCCTTTGATGAGGTCATTGCGGCTGGCTCACTTCCTTGCTTGCCTTCCCTTCCGTCTACCACCCCACCATCTTCCTACTTCCCGTCTCGCTACCTTGCTGGGAGCTGATCTATTTTTTAACTACCTTGCTGGGAGCTGATCTATTTTTTAACAACTGCTGTCATGTTGGCACCCCTAAATCTCCTTTCCTTTCTTTACCTAGGACCCGGCAAAGGACGGAGAGGCAAAGATCAAAGCTTACTACGCTCAGCTTAACGAGGAAATGCAGAATGCATTCCGCAACTTGGAGGACTGAAGGGGGAGCGGAAGCCCCCCAGTGACCTGAAGCAGGAACAGCCTCTTGTGTGGGGGGCACTGTGGGAGCCCCACTTAAAGGTTTCACTCTAAGGGCTCCTTCTTTGTGACTTACGTTGACCAGGCGGCTAACGACCACATGGCTGCTTACAAGGAGTGTCATGTCAGTTTTGCCGCAGTTGTAAGATTTCAAGCACCCCCTCCCCCTGGGTTCAAGCCCCTCTGTCTGAGCCCCCATTAATTCCCATTTACACATCCTGAATAAATTAAAATATAGCTATATCTCCTCATTTATATTTGCATAATAAAGAATCTGTAGTCACAAAAGTAGCTGTTTGCACCCTGGCTCCAAGACTGCAGCACTGAGACACTTGGAACTGGGCCTGCCTGCTTAGAAGACCCTCAGAGGGTCTTTTCCAAATGCACCCACCAGCCTTAGTGTGGTTAAATATGTCTGGTCTGTACAAGCTTGAGGCTTGCCGTAACAAGATCAGCACTCTGCGCAGCTCGATGCTTGAGGCAGGGGGAGTCACAGGCCGCGGGATGAGTTACAGGCCGACCCTGTCCCTCTGCTTATGGGACGGGACAGCAGGGGTACACCTGGCAGGGGCTTCTGGCTATGCAACCAAGGATGGCATTTGCCCTCTTGGCTACCGCATCACACGGCTGACTCATGTTTAGCCTGCAGTCAACCAGCACCCCGAGGTCCCTTTCACAAGCGCTGCTCTCCAGCCACTTGTCCCCTAACCTGTACTTACGACACCCATTCCTATGCCCCAAGTGCAAGACCTTGCACTTATCCACACTGAACGCCATCCTGTTGTCTCCTGCCCACTTCCATAGTCT